GCTTTCTGTCTTGTTCAAGACGAATACACCCCGCCAGCGTGGGACTTCATTCAAAGGGTTGGGCAGGAAATTCTACAGGAAGACACCTTATCACTGTGTTTTGGGGCCATGTCCTGTAGATGTTCCTGCAACGAAACCCTTTGATTCATGTCAAGCCAGGGAGTCAAGCTCCTTTCTTCTCCAAGCATTTACATTGGCCCACCCGAGGCTTCCGCCGATTGATGTTTGGATGAGGTCCCAAACTACGGCCCCCTATGGCGCGACAAAGAGCTCTGAAGTTTGACTCAACTGAAGGAACGCAAGTCGATGTTCAGAAGAACTCCTTCGGTGAATCAGGAAAGGAACCTCGCCTTGAGGCTTGCCCCTGCTACCCTGCTAGGAGGCTGCCACACCTGCAGCCACGAGACGAAGCGCCGGAGCTGGAACTGCGTCTTGTTGAAAAACCACTCCGGTTTCACCATGGGGTTGACCTCCTGAATAGTTCTTTGATTCAGCTCTGATTTGGGTAATAGTTGGAACACCCATCAAAGGGAAGACCATTTTCGTGGCAAACAAAAAGTTCAGACTTTTAGCCAGTCCACTCAGGAAGTGAGTAAGGGGACTGGGTTTGCCCCATGTGGAACTTAGCTCAGAAAAGCATAATCGGGGAGGTGGTTCAACCAAAACCAGGGGCACGAGCGGCCGCTTGGGCTGACTGCTTGACCTGGCACTTGGATGTGAGACTGGTTGCCCACGAAACCCCTCTTGCAGTCTGCGCCGAAGCTGCACATTAATTACATCGTATACTGGGTGCTTGCTTCAAGACTTTATGCAAAAGGGCGCGTTTACGGGTAATCAACTTTGAACTCATGCATCAGAGCGACCCTGAACCTTGCCATCCAAGGGCAGCAACGTCCCTTCAGCAGATGTTCAAGCAGCGTCGTCCAAGAAAGGCTGGCCGAGCGCACTCAACGCATACGAGCAAACTCGCAGCCAGTCAGCCACATGTTCTGGTGTTCCTTGTCCATGTCCATGTCCAATGCTTTGGAGACCCCAGACAAGATCTAGGTCCTCCAGTACAGAGGTTAGAACAAGGCCGCCCCTTTGTCCTGCAGTCCATTTTAGCACCTTGTGCAGCAAAACATGCCGTTTCTTTGCGTGTGGGTGCACCCCCTTTCGGGCTGGCTTAGGGAAGGTGGCCGGTTCCTTCCAAAAAGAAAGCCGGCAGGAAGCCACCGGCTGCTTCATTCCTTACATGGCTCTAGACCATGTACCGGGCTTTGAGCCAGTGACCCATTTGGGAGAGTCCCATGGACACACCTGAGTCCCATTTACATGGTGACGACATGAGCCTTGCGCTTTGGGAGGCGGTTCGCGAAGCCCTCGGAAGAGCTCGGCGACTTGGCGTTGCGACGATGTGGGCTGTTGAGGTAAGCACGGCGCATGGAGCGTAGAGGATCCATTGGCTGAAATGAAAATTCGCTGGTTTGACCGTGGTTTGAAAGGCAACCCTGGAAATATGGGGAAAAAAAAGCTCTTTTCCATGGGACTTAAGCAACTGGAGGCTGAGGAGCAACAAGTGCTGTGAACTGTTGATTGCCTCTGCGCGTTGAACATATGGTTGCTTTGCTCCTTGTTGTGATGGCAAGCAAGACGCAAATATCCTCCAAACAGTTGTGATGATGACTCAGGTTATGCAAACGATTGTGCCCATGGCGGGTGCTGGCAATCATTTGCAGCTAGGATCAGTTGTGTTTTACCAAAGTCCACCCGCGACCATAGCCTTCCCAAGAAGGAATGTGGGGTCGTTGTCGTTTTTGTTTTCCCCGCAACAGCTCCATGTGGCTGTGGGTCAAAACCAATGGCACCATTTTTGGATAGGTGAATGCACCTGGGATGTTCACTGGGGGCTAACCGATTTGGGTTCTGACCCATGGCCACTTGCCCAAAGACGACCTTTTGACCCTTTGGTTTCCCCTTTTTGATCTATTTTCAGTCATGGCCCCAAAAGGTGAACCTTTTATATCTTTAGGTCCTTTGGGCAACTGAGATAGACGTACTTGGATGTTTGTTGCCAAGTTAGTAAGTTAGAATGCTTCTTTGGGACTTTACAAACAGCAAGAGGCCCTGATGCTCACTCCCCGATCGGCTGAGGATGCTCTGGCAAGCCAGGCGCTGCGATACTGCGATGGGCGAACGGGGTGGGGTGGTCAAATCTTGACTGCTATTAGGTTGGATCTTTAGACTTTAACTTCTTGGTTGAAATCAAGTTGGGCTTTCCACTAAACCCCCAACAAGTTAAACTTTTTGCTAGGGGAGTCAACAGCAACCAAGAAATGGAGAGGCATGTCCATGGCAGAAACAGCTTTTGGCGACCATGGCTCAAGTGCCTGCGGCTGCTGCGTGGCAGAACAGCAAAGAGGTTTGCTCACCTTGTGGTTTTGAGAAGCTTCTTTTCCATCCTAAGCCTAGGCCAAGGATAAGGATAAGCCCCTGATGAGGCCGTTCTAGGGGCTCAATCTCACTTCCTGAGTTTCGGGACTTGCAACTTTTGGGAAGACCATGTTAGTGGTAAACACCAAGTTTGGACTTTTCGTTGGCCCATCCACTTGATCGGAAGTGAGTCAATAGTGATCCCCTGAAAGGTCCGTGCCTTGCAAACCGGGGACATTCTGCGATTCGGAGGACGCGTATACCTCCATCGGTGGGCCTTCCAAAGTGGACCCCGTGGCCGACCCGGTTGCGATGTCCAGCGCGTCATTTGCCACTCGCTTGGAGCCAGAGCCAGGACCAGGTGGCACCTGGGGGTGGTGTTTTTGGGTACCCCCCCCAAAAAGAGGAGGCTGTTTTTGAGGGAAGCCGGGAGGAAACCACCATCAGGGCACACGCGATCAAGGGAAAACGCGGTCGAGTGCCAAAGTCCTGCGCCAGCTTCTGGGAATTCCCCACTGTGATTCCAAGCCTTCCCACAGCTTTTTTTCTGAGCGGTCCTCCGCTCAGGGCAAGATGAGTTTAGCTTAACCTCTTGATAATTCGACAGACATGTTGTTAGGCAGAAGACTGAGCGAGCTCCTGGGGTAAACGAGCTCGCTCGTGCTTGTTTCTGGGGGTTTTCCTACTTTTCAGTTGGGAATTCTCAGATTGCAGCCCCAGAGGCCATAGGTTCGAGGATCTCGGGCGCCTTCGGTGAGATCTGCTTTCGTGGTGAGTTGTTGCAGTCGTTCCATATGTATTGTTTGGTTCCCAGTTGTGGCAACCATTCCTGGTCGTGACAACTCAAATGTGACTGCCGCGGTGAGAACGTAGAGAATGTATCGGCACTGGGTCTTCTTTGGGCCGATTCGGAGGTTTCCTTAAGGGCAGCCAATGATTGTCGTTTTAGGGTAGCCTCTTCGGGCCAAATCCAAAGGAAATCCAAAGGAAATCCATCACAGTCCAGGGGAAATCAGACATTTAATTTTTCCGTAAGGCCCGGGGGTTTGTCATGTTAACAGGAAAACCAAAAGAACATCACCATTTGTTTCAGCTCTTTTTGCGCCGGGTCCCCCATCTTTTGACGCCGGGTCCGAGGCCCTGATGTGTGCGGCCGGGCCGCGGCGTCGGAAACTCTCCGCCAGCCCGCAGGCTGCAGGCAGAAATTTCCCGTATCTGGGGGCTCATCAAGAGGTCCTCATGGGACCATTGGGAAGAGCTATGAACAAGATGGATGTTTGAACCACTACATGGGAAGAGTTACCTGCGGTCATGGCCGGGGCCGAACGGAATATTGGTTAACCCCCTTGCAATAAGAAGGCAACATCTGCGGTGCTGCATGAACAATGTAGATGGCTGAGGTAGATGTCTCACAAAACGTCCATTTCTTCCAATAGTCCTTGAGAGAAAGAAGCAGACGAGTGGCAGGTCAGACGTTTCGCATACCCAGACGAGTTTCCCAGATAGCACAGACAAGGTCAGATCCGGCGAAGAAAGCCGCGCCCGAGGCTCATTCCTGTGAGGTCCTGGAGTTCAGGCCGAGACTTGGACTCAGCTGCAGCCGGGTTTGGATGGGATGGGAGAGGCAACCAGAGGCGTTTTGTTTTTTTCACTGCGAGGCCGATCCGGCACCGGAGAAAAAGACAAAATATCGGAGCCACTCCTTCGCGACTGGCGATGTTGAAAGAGGCAGACGCCGAACCTCAGAGGCAACCTCGAATCTCACTTCCTGAGTTCCTGAACTTTATACTTCTTGGGGTTGTACCACTTTGGTGGTGAAGAGAAAGTTCATGCTTTTTTGCGCCTTCCACTCCTAGGTCCCCCAGCTAGGTGCCCTTTTACCCTTTTTTTCGGGGTGGGTTCCCCTACTAAAATAGACTACAGAAAAAAAGTTTGTACCCTTATTCCAACCTCTCAAATCTGGAGGACTTAGACTCGGGAAGGGAGAAGTTGCGTTCAAAAACTCTGAAGCTTGAGGCCAAAGATCTTCCTGGCGAACCGACCTGCAGTTTCACTGAGCCGAGTTTGGTCGAGCGAGCCTCTGCGCGCAAAAAGCCGCGACGGTGGGCAAGAGGCAATTGATGCTTTGAGGGTCCATGTTTCGGGTTGCGTTACACGGAAGCCAGAAGGAAAACGGCCATTGTTGGTGTCCTTTTATTTTGCCCTGTGTCTGCTCCGCCTGTCTGCGGGGATCTGTTTTTCGGGTTGCATGTTGTTGTTGTTGTTGTTGTTTTGTTTTATTCAAAAAAAGAGAAACACAAACTGCAGGGAAGTAATGGAACATAATGGAACCCCTTCGCAAAGAGCACATTGGCCATTGATGATGAATCCTCCGGTCTTCAGGGTAGCAAGTCCCCCAACCCTCCAGGACAAAAATGTCTAGTGGGCTTGAGAAGCGCGAACGTCCCCAACCTTAGGAACATGCATGGGAGGGGAGTGTCAAACAAGGGGGAGCTGCTTTTGACATTTGGGTGTGTCTTTTTTTGGTGCACCCCTGTTTGATCTGTTTGTAAGCCACCATTTCAGTCCCCTCGAAACTAACTCTCCAGGCCGTCAGCAGGGAGGTGCTGGCACTGCGAGCAGAGGCATACCAGTTAACAGCCGGACGGCTTTTCGGCAAGACGGGGGAGGAGAGTTACGATCTTGGGGAACAAGAACTTGACTGCTATTATTGGGTGGGATCTTTAGACCTTAACTTTTTTGGGAAAACAAGGGGTTTTCCACTAAACCCCCAAAAAGTTAAACTTTTTGCAGGGGGCTCAACAGCAACCAAGAAGAAGGCACTGTGTTTGTCATGCGTGTGTGTGTGGAGTCAATGTGCGAGCAAATCCGCTTCGAGTTTTGACACCAAAGTCTGCCAGTCAGGAGCGCGGCAACAGGTCCCATTCCTTCCTTTCTGATCTGGACATGTGCCAAACGAATGGCCCCCTTTTTGGATGGGGGCAAACCAGCGTTGGATCTCCTTGCCATTTCGATTGGTTTCCACAACGGGAGAGGTGAGATTGTGCTTGGGAAAGCCTGGCTTGGACCAAGGGTGGAACCGGGTGTTTGCAAAAGCATGGGACATGCACAGGCAAACGCATGAGGTTCATGCAAGCACAGACAGGTAGATTGGAAAGGGCAGACAAGCAGAGACACGGGGACACAGAATGGCTGTGGTTCCAAAATTGGCGCCAAAACTATCTTGCGATTCTTTACTTGGAACTGGGTAGATTTCCTGCTGGGTGTAACAACTCTTTAGCGCATGCTCCGGAATTTGAAGATAGTTAAGACAATTGCACAAGACTGGAATGCTGTACAGCAATTCTTGGGCTTTCTGGAAGGTTTCGCCAATGGGCCAATTAAGAACTTTCCAGGTATCCAACAGATAAGATTGTTCGGAAGCTTTGTGGCCTGTCAAAAAGCACAAGGCACAAATTGCTAAGAAGCTTGCCAAGAAGAAAAAGAAAGCTTAAGTTGAGTGTTTCAATGCATTATGGAAGTTGCAGGAAAATTGGGTTTTGCACAAGTTTCAAAAACAAGGGGTTCCCCTTTTCTTACAAGAAACACAAGCAGTTACCTTGCACGCGTGTTTGCTTGCAGAACAGGGAAGGGGCCGCCCATCTTTTGCCTGCCTTTTGCAGATTTTTTGGAACAATCAGCTTGTACCATGGATCTTCCTTGACCAAGGCATATTATTTGCATGTTTGAACGTATTATTCTGGTGTCCCTTTTTACTCGATTGTGCCGGGATTCCTCTCATTGGTATCCGGGTCCAGTTTTCAGAGGACTCTCCTTGGGTTGTCAAAAGCTTTTGGGTTACATCTTGCCGGGTTCCCACTTGGATGGTTTGACGGGGGGTAGGCGGTTTCTGAGATTCCTGGCCAGGCAATGCGGACGGAGTCGACACAGCTGCTTCGGCAGTTCCAGGAGATCTGAAGTAGGATGATTTGGGGGAACCTTTTTTTTGGGATGGCATGCTAGGTCCCCCAATAGTAGTGCCTAGTGCCCTGTTAACCCTTTTTTGGTTGGGAGGGTTCCCCTACTAAAATAGACAAAACCGAAAAAAAGTTGGTACCCTTATTCTAAGGTCTCAAATCTGGAGGACTTAGGACGGGGTTTGCCCTCTCACCTACGTTGCCATGGCACCTGACAAAAAATTGGTCCCTCCAAGCGGAAACTGATTTTCCAGGTGCCCTCCCCAGCTGCATGCCAACGTGGGAGGCGAAGGAAAACCAGAAGGCGGCCACATGTTCGGCTTATTTCGAGACGGAACCATGTCCTTTACCTCGATTGCTTCCAGCTACCATAGGTCACCAGGGGTTCTTTTCTCCAGCCACATGATGGTATTTTTCTGGTTTCCTCTGGTGTCTGGGGGCGTGGGCATGCCACGGCCTTGGGTTTGCACAAGGATTGTAAGGTGTTTGGAGCTTGGAGTTTCCAGCTTCTGCAGGTTTCTCAAACATGGCTGTGGGTCCAAACAGTTTTGGTATCCCATTTTGGGGTAGGTGCACCATAGAACCTATGTTAGGTGGGGATTGGGATGTTCACTGGGGGTACGGTTTGGATTTTGACGGGGATTGGGATGTTCACTGGGGGGTACGATTTGGATTTTGACCCATGGCCACATCTCGCTGAGTTTACCATTTCTCTAACGTAGGTCTGCGCATTCTCTTTGAGTTACGTTCTCAATGCAATGATCGTTCTCTTGGAAAGATTCCGAGCATTTTCTATGCAAGGGCTTGCTCTGCAGGCGGCGAAATTTTCGAGTTTCGCCCATCTCCCCGAGGTTTCTCAAACCTCAGACCACGCGATGCACTTCGCGCGGGTGTCCTTTGCGCCCCGCGCGCTGGCGCCATGGGCGGGGCGGGCGCAGGCGCACCGAACTTCCCGGGCACCGCCGAGGGAGGCACAAGGGCGGCAGGCGGAGGTGGCAAAGAGGGGGGCGGGGGGACAGTTTTTGCAATAGGACAACGACCATTTTAGGGGTTCACCTAGTTTTTATATATATCGTAGAACCCATTTGTTCGAAGCTTTTTTTGTGGGCCACCGAATTTTGTTTCAACAGCCTCCGATCCCTTCTGAAGAGACACCAGGTTGGTGTTTGAAGATGTGGTTTCAACAATGGAAAACAAAAACATGATTCAACATCAGAAGGTGATGTCCTGCCTGAAGAAACGTGTGCTTATGTTTTAAGGGTAGCCTTTTGGGTTTCAATAGAAGCCATCCATGGCCACAGAAAAGCCGACAGGCGCGGCTTCTGCTGGCGGCGGGGCTCGGCTTGGCAGCAGGGCGAACCCGGGAGCTGCGCCTGGAGGATAGCGTCACTCGGCCAATCAACTGGGCTGTCTTGTTAGCAGTCTTTGTGAGACCATGAGCGCGAAGCCCAGGCCCGTAAACGCGGTCAAACCTGAAAAATAAAAGACCTGAAAGGTAAGCACACATTGCACATAAGCTCCTCAAGTTTTGAGGGTCCCGTTCGCTTGGGAAACCAAGGAAGCCAAATGGACACCATCCATGTATGGGGCCTTCCTGTTTTTGGAGACGCTCCCAGATATTCCTAATTGTCTGATTTTGTTGTTGTTGTTCTTTTCCTTGTACCCATTTAGAGACAAAGGCATCGTTTCCCAATGGGGACTATACGTATCATCCTTTCCTTGGGTTACTTGTAGTTTTACCCTTTGTAGCTGCCTCAAAAGTTTTCATGCCTAACATAAAAAAGTTTTGATTGCCCCGAGGAAACAAACAGGTGAGCGATATGACGCACATTCGTCCAGACCGATGTTTCCACCCGTGGATTGTTGGCCAACCACAACCAGCCACAGATTTTTAAACCAGACCCCATGCTTGGCATGTGGCCATGTGGATTTATGTCCCAAAATGGGAGCCCCAAAAAAGAGGTGGTGTTACCAGCGCAGACCCAAGGATAAGTGTGTCTCAAAATCAGGGTTTTCTGGTTTGCCCAATTTGAGCAACCCTTAAAGAAAGAAGTCACCCATTTCTTCCTCCCTCCATGTCTCCAGCGAAGGTAGCAGTGAAGAAGCCAGAGACGCACCGCAGGCACTACGAGGCAAGGGGTGTCGGGATAGTAAGGGGTACAGGGGGCACAAGTCGGAGTTCTTAAGGCTGCTTTTTGGTGATATCCAGAGAGTACCCTTTGAACACAAAGTAGTGACGACTGGACTTGCTCCCGCTTTAGGGCAGAAAGGGCCTATGTTCCACAACCATGGTTTGTGTTTGGTTTTTTGGGGAACCCGAATTCAGATTGGGTTCAACCAAAGGGAGAAAGGTGTTCGCTACCTTTGGCACATACCGGATGGGTTGGGTGAAAGCAGATGATGTTTGCTTCTGTTTAGTTTCGCGCAAAAAAACGACTCCAAGGGTCTCAATTTTAAGCGTAGAACCTACACAAGGGTATTTGGAAGACCGTTTTCCTTTTCAGGGCACCCCTCTGCAGGTTCCTTGTTGGGAGGGTAGCCTAGGTCACCACTTGGTGATTTGGATTTGAACCTCTGGTTGTAGAGGGCAAAGGGGAAATGTCCTCTCCAAACCACACCTGGCTCCAAACCATCAAAAGGGAAGCTAACCACACCTGGCTCCAAACCACCAGAAGGGAAGCTCCACACACCAGCGGGTCCACGAAAAGTTGACGGCCCCTACCACCAAAAGGGAAGCTCCACACACAACAGGCCCTTTGAAGGCGGAGCCAGGCGTGGTTTGGTGCCTTGGAAGGCGCCTTTTGAAGGAAGCTGAAGAGAGAAATCGACGACGCCTGGAGACGGCAGGTGCTGAGCCTGGAGAACGGCATGCGCGTGGTGCTCGCCTCGGATCCCAACTGTGACAAAGCCGCCTGCGCGCTCTGCGTGGGCGTGGGCCGCCTGCATGAGCCGAAGGCGGCGGGCGAAACGGAAGCCAACGAGGTCCCCCAGTAGTGCCCTTTCTCTCCCTTGTTTTGGTTGGGAGGGTTCCCCTACTAAACTAGACTACACCAAAAAAAAAACTTATTGTAACCTCTCTACTGGAGGATTCGGGATCGAACCACAAAGAAACATTCGATGTGGGAACCCATGAAGCCGTGAAGAAGTGAATGGGTATGTTGATTTTTACAGCTGGACCTCCAAAATGGGGTGGTTGTTCTCGTAGCGTCCCTTTAAAACCAGAAGAAATTGGCGGGGGGGGGGGAGTCCAAAAAAGACACCCAGATGGGGTTGTGCCTCTTTTTGTTTGAGAGTACACCCCTGGATTTGGTTTGTTTTGGAGGGAATGTTGGATTTGCAGAACATGGATAAGCAATTCACAGTGGGGAATGAAAGCACAGCATGTTTAGTTATATAGAGAAGGGCTCCCAGTTGTCGGGTCAGCATCCGGCAAAAGGGGCTTGGTTGATTGTTGAAGATCAACTCCAAAAGGTGTTTCCCAACATTTACGGATATTTCAGATGGTGTCCCGACATTTGATTCATTTTTTGGATCCAGAATGGATTGGTTCTAAGTTCCAAGGGTTCGCTTTTGCTACCGAACAGGTCACTGGGAATCTGGGAGTGGCAGGACATGCCGGGTCTCGCCCACTTCTGCGAGCACATGCTCTTCCTGGGGACCGAGGCCTTTCCCGAGGAGGCAGGTGGAGTTGATCCTTTCAAGAGCCCTTACACTCTCCTAGGTCCCCCAGTGCCCTTTCTCACCCCTTTTTTGGTTGGGCGGGTTTCCCTACTAAAGTAGACTACAGAACAGAAGTTGATACCCTTATTCTATCCTGTCTACTGGAGGACCTAGCTCTCACTCCCGAGTTCCTGGATGTACCTTTTGAAAGACAACATCTTAGTGGCAAACACCAAAAAAGCAGACTGATCTTGGATCTCAAGAAGCGGAGATTCAACCAAATTGGGTTTTTTCAGGAAAATGCAAAACTCTGGGGTCAGCCTGGCCTTTGTTTGGCCTCTCCATGGCACCGATTCGCATGTGTTCTCTTCTTCTTCCGGAGCCGGAGGCGGAGTACAAGCGCTTCATCAAGCGCCATGGGGGGAAGTGCAACGCCTCCACCGGGGATTCCTCCACCTGCTACGTCTTCGACGTGGCCCCGGGGTTTCTGCCAGGACTGGGTGCCTTTGAACCGCTTTTGGCGGCTTGTTTTTTTTTGTCTCTTTGACGCAGGAAAACGCTTCTCCCCAACCAACAAAACAAGATGGGTGGTGTGTCTTCTTGTTGTTAGGGCTTTCAGGGGAACCCCCTTTTCGGTTGGGAGTTGAATGGGAAACCAAATGGACAACCTGCATTCAAGACCAACCTGCGGGTTGTCTGGTATTCCTTTTGGACCAACCTTTGTTTCAACCTCTTTCATCCTTGGACCATGGTGTTGTTTCACCGATATTGGGATAAAGAGCCCTCCCAGTTTCAACACCCTCAACATGGCACAACAACTTTCCTTTCGGTTGCCCCCCATATCACCGCTTCCAAAATGTGTTTTCCCCCTAGAGACTGGGGAACTGTGGAAGTGCACTTCCATGCTGACCCATGAGAAGACTGGAAGTCACAAAACGCACTATATACGCCCACTGAACGGGGCAGTGTACTTAGTAAGTGGTTAGTAAGCCTGGTTACAACCCACTTAGGAGACTTACAACCATGGCTTTGGTGGGTTATAACCAGGCTTACTCACCACGTACCTGACCTCAAAAAACGTCCCTTTACTGACTGAAATTGGGTTGGATCTTTAGACTTTTACTTTGGTGGAAATCAAGGGTTTTCCACTGAATCCCCAAAAAGTTGACAACTTTTCGCAGGGATGTTAGGACTTTAACTTTTTGCCAACTAATCGGTTTTCCGTATTAAACCACTAAAAGATACTTACTTTTAGCAGAGCAGACAGCAACCGCCCCTTTAAGGAGCCCTGGACCGGTTTTCCCAGTTCTTCCGCTGCCCGCTCTTCACGGA